TCTCCAGTGGAATTTAAGCAAAGGAAACCATGGATATTAGCGAAACTTCAATCACCAAGTACCTTTTTGTTCCCTTTTCTTATACACAGAGCACACTTGCCTCTTCCCACCATGCCACACATGTCCAGGCAGAACACGTGCAGTCCGATTCAGTCGGTGCATCCAGGATCTCTGGATATGGCATAGTCTTCTTCATAAAGATCATGTGGAACTCCTTAAGATGCAATCTGTGAACTCAAAACGCAAAACTATCTGCACCAGGTTAGGCGCGGCGGCTCATGCCTGGAATCCCAGCACTTTGGGAGGCTGAGGCAGGTGGATCACGAGGTCAGGAGATCGAGACCATCCTAGCTAACACAGTGAAACCCCGTCTCTACTAAAAATACAAAAAATTAGCCGGGCGCGGTGGCGGGCACCTGTAGTCCCAGCTACTCGGGAGGCTGAGGCAGAAGAATGGCATGAACCCGGGAGGCGGAGCTTGCAGTGAGCCGAGATCACGCCACTGCACTCCAGCCTGGGCGACAGAGCAAGACTCCGTCGCCAAAAAATATATATACATACACCTTCCCTTCCTGCTCCCAATATACAATGGTGGAGCCGGAGCAGGAGCTTCTTCCTTACCTAATATCCTTCTTGGCCAGGTGGGCTCTGGCATACCGTCCAGAGGGGCTGCACAACCTTCACAACCCATCAACCTACCCTGCCAGGCCAAGTTCTCAGAGGTTTGTTTTTTTTTGTTGTTTTTTGTTTTTTTGTTTTTAAATAGTAGTTTTATAGCTCAAATAGTTAAGGGCTTGTTCAGTTCAGTCTCATAATTTCTTTGCCAATGTAATTCCCTCAGAAACTTAGTAGGCCTTTGATCTATTTGTTTCCAGTTGATTCCATGTGCCAGTAACCACACACAAAAAGTTCTTTCCTAAGACTAATGTATTTCTTTGCCGCTTGCTTTCAACTAACAGAAGCCACCTGGAGGCCATATGAAAAAGGTCAGTTGCTTCTGGCTTTGACTGTATGATAGAATCACTTGGGGAACTTTATTTTTTCTTTCTTTTTTTTTTTTTTTTTTTGAGATGGAGTTTCACTCTTTTTGCCTAGGCTGGAGTGCAATGGCGTGATCTCGGCTCACTGCAAACTCAATCTCTGCCTCCCGGGTTCACGCGATTCTCCTGCCTCAGCCTCCAAGTAGCTGGGATTACAGGCACCCACCATCACGACCAGCTAATTTTTTGTATTTTTAGTAGAGACAGGGTTTTACCATGTTGGCCATGCTGGTCTTGAACTCCTGACCTCAGGTATCTGCCCGTCTTGGCCTCCCAAAGTGCTGGGATTACAGGAGTGAGCCACCGTACCTGGCCCACTTCGGGAACTTTTAAAAACAGTCTATGTACAGGGTTTCATGTACCTCAGACCAATAAATCAAAATCTCTGCAGGCAGAACCAAGGGGATTCTGATAAGCAGCCAAGCACAAGAGCCCATACCCTTAATCTGATCTTTGCTATAGGACTAGTCACCGTTTTCAACTGAGAAGGTCTACTAGGACTTTGTTGTTTAAAGCCTTTCTCAACTGTTTTGCTTTCTCTCTAGGGTCTGGAAGTAGTCTGTTTTTCCTTTCACTGCCCCAAGAGTCAGAGCTTTCTCCGGTCCCTTTCATTTATTGCTTGCGCACTAGCCAATTCTTTCTGAACTCATCTCTATCCTATGTCACCTTACCATTAACAGTCTCACATTCTGATCTTTTCCAACACTTGACCTACAGCCCGGTGGGTGTGAGGTGTGCCTTCCAAATGATCACAGATGACACATTTACCAAACTGGTTACCACTATATACAAACATGGGTTTCTGACTTTCCCTCTCCGTTGTCAGTTTCCTCATCAAGTGTGCCACATGACTGCTAAGACAATGCCATACATTTTAAGATTTTAACAGAAATCTACTTCTAGTACTAAAACTTCAGTGACTTAACACAAAGTTCTTATCATGCCCCTATCACAGTCAAGTGGGTTGCTGGATATTCTTCTCCACCCATCATTCAAGGACCCAGTTTCCTTTCGCTTAATGGTTTCACCCTCCGCTGGGTCCTAATGACATTCTCTACACCAAGATAGCAGAGAGGATAGAGAAGGCACCCTGTTATTTATTAACTGTCTTCTTCTGGAAAGACACCTATCATTCTGTTTGCATTCCACTGGCAAGAACTATTCACATGGTTCCACTTAGCTACATGAAGGCTGAAATGTGTAGTCTAGACACGTGCCAACAAGAATAGGAAAAGAGTAACGCTAACAAGCTCCAGCAGTCTCTTTCACACTCATTAAAACTTAAGCTCCACAGGGCAGGAGTCTTTGTCTAGTTTGTTCATAGATGTATCCCAAATACCTCTTACAGGACCTGGCACACAGTAGGTGCTTAAAAAATAAATTTTGAATGAAAGAATGAACAGACAGGATGAATCTTAGATATGGTACCATATGGCATTTTCTTTTTAACAAAGGCAAACAAAATGGACCAAGGACTAAAATAATAAATTATACTGCATAGTTACTGAGATAAAACATTCAACAGAAATTTTTGCAAAAATCAAAATAAACTTCCAGGTACTACTTAAAACTCACATATCACATCTACAATGAAAATTCATATGCCAGCTGGTTAAACACACGCTCAAACTCACGTGTGAGCATATAGAAACTTTTTTCAAAATATCAGTATAAACACAGCTGACAATCGCAAAGAAATTACTGTTAAATTGATAGCACATCTTTTTGTTAGCTGGAAACCTCTTTGCTCAGCCTCAAAATTCAACCACATCTTCCTCAAAGAGCAAGAGCTCGGCACGTACAGAATCTTAACTTTGAAAAGAAGTTACATCCAGACACCTACACATACTGCTAAAAGACCTTACCAGTATACATCTACCATATGCAAGGCACACATCCATCAAAATTCAGAACAGACACGTTTATCATACTAGCTTCAAAATTATGCGGGATAACAATACTTGATTTTTTTAAAAAAATTAAGTCACTTTAACAAAAATAAAAGAATTTATAAAACAAAGAAACTGAAATAAGAATAACAACACATGGAAATAAGATCTAGTTCACAAGAGTGCTGTGAGGGTCAAACAGAAATGTAAGAATTCATTTGTGATTTGTAGACTTTTCTGTATGTATCTTATAACCCAATGAAAATATTCAAGAGTAGATGAAAACATGCAAATCATAAAGCAGTATCAGTCACTTGTCTCTAAATAAATGCAAAATCCCCATTTTTAAAAGGGTTATAGGTTAGTCAAATGAGGAAGTTCAAACCAGGGGGAATAAGAAGTTCCCCATTCTTCTAGCCCCAACATCCATAATGAGAATTTTCACTAGAAATATACCAGCAAACTCAGTCATCATGAAAGGTAAAACAGTAAAAACTATCCCAGTGTAAAGAGTTAAGACTCTACACACACACACACACACACACACACACAAAGTGGAAAAAACATTAACAATTAACATAGTGAAGTACCTGTACTTTTAAGAAAGCAAAAAGAAACAATTTGAAAATCTGTAAATTATCTTTATTCAATGAAAAAGAAAAGAAACTACTGTGTTTTTTCCTTTTTTTTTTTTTTTTTGGATTTTAAAAGTGGTTCTTCAACACAACAGCCACCAAAAAAATGGAATTCACAACACAACAAGACCCAGGATAGGATATTCAGTTTAACAATATGTTATCGTTAAGTATAACAGAAACCTATCCAGTAAAAAAAACAAAAAACAAAAAACGGATCTTTAACAGATTTTCAGAGATGAAGGAACTAGTTAAGTGTACATGTGGGCTGAAGTTTGTTTTGTTTTTTTCTTTAATTCCTGATGTGAGTTTATTTGCTTTTTCTTGGTTGAGTTTTAAGACAACCGAAGGGAAAATAAAAACTGGTTATTAAAGCTTTCTAATACTTGAAGGCCAACAGGATAACCAGGCTAAAGAACCTAGATCCTGAATTATACTTCTGACCTTACATGTTTTTCTACCATTTAGCAAACGAACCAACAAACAAAAACTAGAGGAAAGGTTTTAAAACAAAGGCTGTAGCAACTTTTTGGAAGGAAAATATGGCATTTTTAAAACTCTGGAAATAAACTGAGAGAAAGGAAGGAAAATAATTGATGATAAACATGTTACATAATTTATAAGAACCACAGAAAAATCAGATATTGACTTCCGCCAAGATATTATTATTTTAAAAACTACTTTTGAAGGTAAAGACACCAATGTGGCAATGGCCGTAAAATACAATGTTTTTTCCAACTTTACAGGTATAAATACTTAACTCTTCTATTTTCTACAACTTTCCTTGCAACATTTAAACCCTATAAATGTGAGGAAATTTTGCTTGCAAAAAGAACTTTAAGATTTTTTTTTTTTTTTGAGAAGGAGTCTTGCTCAGTCACCCAGGGTGGAGTACAGTGGCACAATCTCTGCTCACTGCAAGCTCTGCCTCTCGGGTTCACGCCATTCTCCTGCCTCAGCCTCCCAAGTAGCCACCACACCCGGCTAATTTTTTTTTTTTGTATTTTTAGTAGAGACAGGGTTTCACCATGTTAGCCAGGATGGTCTTGATCTCCTGACCTCATGATCCGCCTGCCTCAGTCTCCCAACGTGCTGGGATTACAGGCGTAAGCCACCGCATCTGGCCTGTACAATTTTAAAATAAGAAGAAACCCACTTTTCACTTAGGAAAGAGAGCATTGCAACATTCCATTTTACTGAATAAAAGAGACCATTTCAAACGTACTGTCTTTGTTTCCTGGAATTTTTTAAAATTCTGCTTTTAAAATCAAGTGAGGAAGCACAACATTTTTGCAACCCTGGCATAAATATTAGTGTTAAGATTTTACTACACCACATCCTTATTTGGTAGGCATCCATGAGGAAACTGGCCCAGGTGCTGTTACTGATAAAACAGGTTAACATTCAGGGACACAGATGAAACACAAAGCCATTACCCAAGAGGAATGCTCCTTCATCTGGTGTTGATTGCTGTGAGGGCCACCGGCATGGCCACGCCAAAAGCAATTCTGGCAGAGCTGATAGTTGTGGCACTGCTGGCATCGGTACCGGAAACCCATCATACTCTCACACCGGCAGTAGGAGCACTCCACGGGATGGAAGACTTGTGGACAGGAGAGAAAAGGGGAAGAAAAAGGGCAGGAGAGAAGGGATGGAATAAAAGAAGAAAGAATAAATTTTCATTTGGAGAATAAAGTCAATACAGAGGAATACCAAATCTAATATAAAAACAAAGGTAAAAACAAAATTAGAGCTGGATGCAATGGCTCGCCCTTGTAATCCCAGCACTATGGGATGCTGAGGTGGGCGGATCACTTGAGACCAGGAGTTCGAGACCAGCCTGGACAACATGGCAAAACCCTGTCTCTACTAAAATTACAAAAAAATTAGCTGGACATGATGGCACATGCCTGTAATCCCAGTTACTCAGGAGGCTGAGGCACGAGAATCATTTGAACCCAGGAAGCAGAGGTTGCAGTGAGTGGAGATCACGCCACTGCATTCCAGCCTGGGTGACAGAGCAAGACTCTGTCTCAAAAACAAAACAAAACACAATTACAACTAAAGAATCTAAATTGTCTGCTAGTCTAACTAACCATTTACTAGAAAAAAAAGAAAAGAAAAGAAAAGAAAAGATTTAAGACATCAGAAAAAAAATTCAACACAGACTACTGATTCTAATCTAATCATTCCAGTGTACTATCAAGGGCAATACACAACTGTATGTTACAGATCACTATTTATACTTTTAAATGTTGGTAGCATAATTGTTTTCTCTGACAATTCAACTCTGAACGCAAGAAAAGGAAGTTAATAGAAAAGAGGGATAGGCCAGCCGTGGTGGCTCACGCCTGTAATCCTAGCACTTTGGGAGGCCGAGGCGTGAGGATCACCTGAGGTCAGGAGTTTGAGACCAGCCTGACCAACATGGAGAAACCCCATCTCTACTAAAAATATAAAATTAGCTGAACATGGTGGTGTGTGCCTGTAATCCCAGGTACTCGGGAGGCTGAGGCCGGAGAATTGCTTGAATCTGGGAGGCGGAGGTTGCAGTGAGCCAAGATCGCACCATTGCACTCCAACCTGGGCAACAAGCGAAACTCCGTCTCAAAAACAAAACAAAACAAAAAAGAAAATGAAAAGAGGGATAGAATACTCAAATCTTCACTGAACAACTCTTTCTAGCATTATATATATAAGACCACAATCTTGGCCGGGCGCGGTGGCTCAAGCCTGTAATCCCAGCACTTTGGGAGGCCGAGACGGGCGGATCACGAGGTCGGGAGATCGAGACCATCCTGGCTAACACGGTGAAACCCCGTCTCTACTAAAAAGTACAAAAAACTAGCCGGGCGAGGTGGCGGGCGCCTGTAGTCCCAGCTACTCGGGAGGCTGAGGCAGGAGAATGGCGTGAACCCAGGAGGCGGAGCTTGCAGTGAGCTGAGATCCGGCCACTGCACTCCAGCCTGGGCGACAGAGTGAGACTCCGTCTCAAAAAAAAAAGACCACAATCTTATTTCAATTATAGGGACTTCTAGACCTGCTTCCAAAAATATATATTAACTAGTGAATCAAGACTCAAAAAACATTTGAGTATGAGGTGAGAAAAACTATATAGCAAGATTATATAACATTATCACTAGGGACTAAAAGAAAACTAAACTCAATAATGAGAAATCCAAAGGATATTACTTCTTCTAAGAAATTCAGTTTTTTGCCATCAAAGTGTTTCTAAGGAATGCTGGAAATGCTAATTAAGAGCATGTGTTCAAATTAACTATACAGCCTAGTGTAGTTCCTCCAGAGAACAGGTCTCCCTCAATCTCAGCAAACGTCAATGAGGTCAACATCTGTGCAGCCAGTATTTATAGTTCTAAGTAATTTAGGTTAATATTAAAAGATATATGTATGTTAGTATTAAATTATCAAATACATTCTGATAATTTGGGTTGAACAAATATGTCTATGTGATTCTCCTGTGTTCTCTTCCAAACCAGTCAAGAGCCAATCCTTAGTCAGTGGAATGGGTGACAGGTGGAAAAGTAGAGAACCAGAATGATGAAAAAATTAACAAGTGTGTTGGGTCAATTATAAATAAGAAAGAGAAGGACTGTTCAGGTTCTGGTAAAAGTATTATTTTGGTAAAGTGCATCACTTAGTAGTTACCTTCTTATATACCATACACTTGGATTAGTAAATCAATGTATAAAGTGCAACTTTTGCTTACGTGAATAAATATTTCTCCTTATGCATAGTTATGTCAATATAATGTCAATATAATTCATGATGAACTTCATAAAGCCCAAACCAAAAAAAACCATAAATACCATAATTTTATAATTTGTTTCTCACCATTAAAACTGACATACTGAAAAATATTAGTGTGATAGGTAACCTTTTATTTCTAGATATTTTAATTATTTTATAACATTTCTGTCTCTGATAAAAATACTACAAACCACATACATTAAGAATGTAATCAATAAATTATATACTTCATAAAAGTCACAATAAAATGTTCATAGGCATATGGATAATAATATATCTTATATATCTTGACAAGTGAGGCTCTTTCTACTTGGTATAGCAAATACAAAATGATTTTATGAAAATCAATTGGACATAAAACTATTAAAACAAGGCTATAAAAGCATTGCTCTCCAAAATTTAAATCTATCCAATAATCTTGTTTTAAAAATTGTGCTGTTTTAGTCTAGAGAGAGTCTGGTCCTTTAAGAAATGAATCCTTAATCTGAGGTACTTGTGAACTAAAGCCATAGTTGGGTAAAAGGCTGAGAAAAATTTATTTTAAAGTATGGATATGAGAGCAAGAAAATAAAAACAGTATGGACGTTTATTAAAAGCGGACTCTTGGCTCTTCCTTGTTCTCTTTTGAGGAATGAAGAAAGGCAAGAGCCTGGAGAGAGGGAAGGTTACTAGAAAAGCGATGGCCTTCCCTTTAACAAACTCCAACAACCTAAAGGAGGAGATAAACTGATGGCAAAAGCAGGAAAAATTAAGAAGTCACTAAGAGATAAGTACTATTTTAACTCAAAGCAAAACAAAGATTTATGTCAAATTACTGGGAGGGACACCAAGAAGAGTTTCAAGGCAAAATGGTAAAGGAAAAAAATGGGGGAAAAAAGGGAACCCACTGTTAAATTATATCTTGGCTATTTTTCTTTAAATTATTCCAAAATAATTATAGTTTTAGCAGCTGATATAGCATATATACAGTTTTTTAGAGCTATGAGTTTGATAAATCAAAGAGGAAACCGGAAGTAATGGCTAAAAAGCAGCTGGGCTCAAACAGAAAACTGTCATCTGGAATCTTAGGCAAGAAAAGTCTATAGTTCAAGTTGTATGACCTGATATGACTTCTTGGTATCCTTTCTTGTTTTTTTTTTGTTTTTTGAGACAGAGTCTCACTCTGTTGCCCAGGCTGGAGTGCAGTGGCGCGATCTCAACTCACTGCAACCTCCACCTCCGAGGTTCAAGCGATTCTCCTGCCTCAGTCTCCCCCCAAGTAGCTGGGATGAGAGAATCGCTTGAACCCGGGAGGCAGAGGTTGCAGTGAGCCAGGATTGTACCACAGCACTCCAGCTGGGGCAACAGAGTGAGACTCTGTCTCAAAAAAAAAAAAAAAAAAAAGTAGTAAGTATCCTCCCTTTTTTGAAAGAAATATTCTTCTGAAAGCCAAAACCACAAAATCAAATGACAGAGTGACAGCAAATGTCAACTGTAATTTTCAATGATATTAATAGCTAAGGACATTGCAAATAATCAGTTCCTATACTTTCTACGGCATGAGGAATTGAACAATAAAAGTTCTGCTTACCATTCTCAACATGGGCAAGCCTGTGCATGAGAGGTAGCCAGACAAGGCACTGGGGAGGAGGGTCAGCCATCATCGTGTCTAAAAACATATTTAGCATTATCTTTCTCTGTAAAAAGAAGAAAAACAAATATACTTTAAATTTTTAAACAATTTCCAAACTCCAAGTTTAAGTTAATTTAGGATTTTTCCCATCCAAGCTTTAGTGAATTATATGGTAAATTTCACAGCAAAATAAAATATTTCACATTTCTACAGACACTACTACATGCTGTACTTTACACTACTACTATTAGTATATTTAAATGTATTTCCACATACATTATTTTATTTTAGTCAACTATATAAGGTAAACTAGGTTAGATATGACTATCTTCACTTTACAGATAGGAAAATAAAGCATTTAAAGGTTTTGTAGTGGCCTGGCCCAAATCAGACACAAATCCAAGACTGTCCTTCGAGTTACTATTTCTGCTACCCAGTGGGGGAGAGAAGACAGCCCACACCCGAGTATAAAGCAACATCAACGAGAGCGGGCACTGTGGCTGGTTGTCCACCATATTTCTAGCTCTCCTAACAGTGCCTGACATGTATCTGATAAGTAACTATTGAAAAAATAGTCGTAATTTGAAGGGCAAACACCTAGACATCATTTAACAACTTTCTCATTCACAGAACAGAAAAGAGAAGCTTAAATAATTTGATAAAATCACAGAGGTAGTTATGATAAGGATGAGATTGGAACCTACATGTCCAAATGCCCATCACAATGCTCCTGTTATACCATCGCCCTAGCTAGACTGCATTTGTCTGTTCTATCTTTATTTCTCTTTTTAACAAATATATAGTAAGCTTCCACTGTATATGAAACACTGAAATAATATGTCCCACGTAGACACCAAATTAGAAAGCAGTCTAGAAAGATAAGATAGAAATAGAGTTATATAATATAGAGAGAACAAATTCTCCACAGTATTTCAAATTAATGAATTTTCTTTTTATTTTCTCCAGCCCACATGATACCTTTCCAGCTCCAAAGAAAAAGGAAAAAGGAGCTGAAAGTCCAGGGTCACCCAACTCAACAAGAGAGTTCCATGACCATAACCCAGACATGAAAACCTCGCTTCAAATTGTTCCAAAAGAAGAGCTCAGACAACAGGACACACACTCAGCAGGTGCATGGCCGTTGGCTGCCTCCTCCATGTCCTGGTCCCACCACTCAGAGGCAGGATGGGGTCTGGGGTGAAGCCAAAAGCGTACCCAGAATTTCACCTTGCTCTCTCCCAAGTAACTGTGTTCCCAGCCCCACAACTTTCTTAATGTGAAGAACAGGATATAAAACATATGGGCATTTCCCCTTACAACGTTTAAAGGGGGGAAGGTAGAAAAGATAAAATTGGTTAGGGCTGACCTAAAGATATTGCTGGCTGATTACAAAATAACTCTGATTTTTACCACTAAAAATATATATTTAACACAAACCAGAAGCAAGGAGTGAAGACACTGTGGTGCTTAGCCTGAAGGACGGAGGCCCCCAGGGCTGCCATTGGACCCACCACCGGACCCTCCCAACAAGAGTTCCTGTCTTGGCCGGGCACAGTGGCTCACGCCTGTAATCCCAGCACTTTGGGAGGCTGAGGTGGGCAGATCACGTGGTCAAGAGATCGAGACCATCCTGGCCAACATGGTGAAACCCCATCTCTACTAAAAATACAAAAATTAGCTGGGCGTGGTGGCAGGCGCCTGTAATCCCAGCTACTCAGGAGGCTGAGGCAGGAGAATCGCTTGAACCCGGGAGGCGGACGTTGCAGTGAGCCAAGATCGCACCACTGCACTCCACCCTGAGCAAAAAGAGCGAAACTCCATCTCAAAAACAAAAAACAAAAAACAAACAAACAAAAAGAGTTCCTATCTCACAAGGCTCGAGACGAGACAGATCCTCTGCATCTTTCTGGCAACTGAGAGAATCTTGATTCCAGTATATGTAAACTGAGGTCATTCTTATTGAGAATAATCTTTAAAATAAGAAACTGATGAATGGGGAATAGAAAAGGGAGGTAGAGTAGAAGGCACAACAGGAAAGAAGCTGTGCAATAAAAATCTGGAAAAGACGAAGAAAGCCAAGGGACAGTCTCACCTCCAGACAGCCTGCAGGCCAGCAGGAAGTAGTTAAGTAATTTGACAGTTCCTCAATTTAACTTCTAATATGGAACTACTCTGGGGGTGGGAGGAGCTGAGAGCTATGCAAAAGGGCTGACAGAACAATTGGCGGTATGGAGCTGCCATTCAAAGGGCCGCTACATATCACTGAGCACTGATGGTGAAGCGTGAGAAGTGCCTACTTGAATAGGCTAAAGGAAGGTTATCCTAAGTGTTTTCCATCTCAGGATCCAAGAATACTCTTGTTTGAGACCTTGGTGGAATATGGGAGGAACCAGAGAATGACATTAAAAACCATAATGCCACCTAACATTTGAATGGAGGAACAGATATGGAAAATGCCTCTATGGACGTGCAAATAACCAACAGATCAAGATAAAGTCAAAAGTGTCTATTTAAAATTATTGAGATTGGCCAGGTGTGGCAGCTCACACCTGTAATCACAGCACTTTGGGAGGCCAAGGTGGCCCAGATAGTTCAAGGCCAGCCTGGCAAAAATAGTGAAACCCCATCTCTACTAAAAATACAAAAATTAGCTGGGTGTGGTGGTGGGTGCCTGTAATCCCAGCTACTTGGGAGGCTAAGGCAGGATAATTGCTTGAACCCAGGAGGCAAAGTTTGCAGTTAGCCAAGATATCACCACTGCACTCCAGCCTGGGTGACACAGTGAGATTCCATCTCAAAAAAAAAAATATATATATATACACACACACACATATATATATAATATATATGTGTATATATGTATATACACACATACATATAATAAAATTATTGAGATAGAAGAAGATGCTAGAAAACTTTTAGCTAGTAAAAAGTGGCAAACAAAATTAAATGTATCATATCCTTTGTCATAAATTTAATCTTTTTTTTTTTTTTTTTTTTTTGAGACAGAGTCTTTCTTCGTCATCCAGGCTGGAGTGCAGTGGCGCGATCTTGGCTCACAAAGTTTAATATTTCTACAGCTTACATGTGTTAAAAATTACCTTTTTATAATACTACTTTCTCTAAAAAGTTTTGATTTGCCTACCATGGAGGTTTTTTTTTTTTTTGAGACGGAGTCTCACTCTGTCGCCAGGCTGGAGGGCAGTGCAGTGGCCCAATCTTGGCTCATTGCAATCTCCGACTCCCTGGTCAAGCAATTCTCATGCCTCAGCCTCCCAAGAAGCTGGGTTTACAGGCACGTGCCACCACACCCAGCTAATTTTTGTATTTTTAGTAAGACGGGGTTTCACCATGTTGGCCAGGATGGTCTCGATCTACTGACCTCATGATCTGCCTGCCTCCGCCTCCCAAAGTGCTAGGATTACAGGCGTGAACCACTGCACCCAGCCATGGAGTTTTTCATAAATCTTCAAGATGACAAGGTAGAATTAGATTTTGGTATCTCAGAAGACTCATAAATAAACTCAGGATCAATCTCCAAAAGTTGTCCTAAAGTCACATCATATGTGACATTTTCCAAAAACACGAGGAATGAACCTAGCAAAGCCATGTCCAAGCACTCCGTCATCCACCAACCAAGTAATTTGGAAAAAATCACTGAACATCTCTGAGTTTCAGTTTTCTCATCTTTCAAGTGCTAAAATAGCAGTTCTCAGTGTGATCAGGGGACCCCTGGAAGGTATTTAAACATTTTCATGGAGTTTTGGAGTATTTCATAATAATACTATGACATTATTGGTCTTTTTCAATCTCATTCTCTCAAAAGTATACAGTGAGGTTTTCCAGAGACAATGTGACAAAGCCACAATTATCTGAAAAGGCTATTAAAAGACTCTCCCTTTCCCAACTATATAGCTGTCTGGGGCCAAATTTTCTTCCAAATTTTAACCAAAACAGCATATCACAACAGATTGAATGGATAAGCAAATATGGGAATCCATGTGTCTTCTATTGAGGCAAATATTAAAGATATGCAAAAATATAAAACCATGGCACTCTTCTCACTAAATTTTTGTTTTGAAATAGTTATTTTTCATAAAAATGTTATTTATATTAACATATAATAGGTTCATCAATGTTATTTTAAGTGACTTAATTTTATTTCTTAACTTTTTTTTCTTTTTTTTGAGACAGAGTCTTGCTCTGTTGCCCAGTCTAGAGTACAGTGGCTAGATTTTGGCTCACTGCAACCTCTACCTCCCAGGTTCAAGCAATTCTCCCGCCTCAGCTCCCAAGTACCTGGGACTACAGGTGTGCGCCACCACGCTCGGCTAATTTTTGTATTTTTAGTACAGATGGGGTTTCACCATGTTGGCCAGGCCAGTCTTGAACTCATGACCTCAAGGGATCCACCCACCTTGGCCTCTCAAAGTGCTGGGATTACAGGCGTAAGCCACCATGCCCAGTCTCAATTTTAACTTCTAATATGGAAATATTGACAGATTTAACCCATATAAATAAAAACTCTTTGGGGTCCTCAATAATTTTTACAGTATAATGAGGTCCTGAGACCAAAAATTTTGAGACCTGTTAGGAGAGGTTTCCCATCTCCAGAATTCCAGGACTCAATAAATAATTTTATGAAAGGTAGGTTGGTTCTTTTTGTCCCTTATCTTTTTATTTTGTTTTTGCTCTTGAGTTGAACACATTCTTTGCATTTTTCCTTATTTTTAAGAGCTTAATATTAATACAAACTATAATAAAATGTAAATCATGCATTCCCACAATTCTCATTTTTCTCTGTTTCTCTCCAGATGTATATATACTTCTACATACTTGTGAACAGAATAGATATATCATCTATTTTTTCACTTAACCTATTAAACATTTTGTTTTGTACAAATTCTTCATTTCTAATCCTTTTAACAGCTACCTAATCCACTGAGCGAAACTACCATGATTTATGCCTCCCTCTATAAAACACAGACTGCTTTTATCATTGGACGCAGTCTCATATTTTTTCTTAGAAACAAGTGTTTCTGTTTGCTGCTCTCTGTTACTCTA